GAAGCCCATTTTGTTCAGTCAATTAAATGGGTCTATTGCAGGGGGCGTCCCGGCCACCCTCGCCATGATGCCAGTAAAACTAACCATGGGGGACCACACTGAGACTTTGACTTTTATAGTGACCCCTGGCGTGGAATGGCCCCTAATCCTAGGACTGGCATGGTTAAAAAAATGGAATCTGTGGGTGAACTGGAGAACAGGAGATCTGAGGTTCCCAAAAGGGAAAGCCCACTTGCCCAATAGCCACTGCGAGCTATCAACAACCGGGAATTGGAAGGCATACCCAGGGAGTACCAGGACCTGCCTGTGGTATTTAGCGAGAAGGTGTCTGATGAATTGCCCCCTCACCGTCCCACAGACTGTGCTATTGAGATCGTCCCTGGAACTAAGCTGCCAAAACCCAAGCTCTACTCGATGACCCCCCCCGAGAGTTAGAGCAGCTGTGCAAATCCATAGATAAGATAGATAAGCTGCCCCAATGCTATTCCGGGAAAAGAAAGATGGGCCTCTTCGTCTTTGTGTAGATTATAGATACTTGAACGCTGTGTGCATGGACAATGTCTACCCCTTGCCACTCATGAAGGACATGTTAGCCTACCTCTCAAAGGGAAAGATTTTCTCCAAGCTAGATCTGTGAGAAGCATATTACCGGGATAGAATCAAAGAGGGGGATGAGTGGAAGACCACGTTCAATTGCCCCTTGGGGTGCTTCCAGTTCAAAGTACTCCCGTTTGGGCTACAGGGAACACCCGCAATATTTATTCAGCTAATTAACGAGGTCCTCCATGAGCATTTGTACAAGGGGGTTTTGGTGTACCTGGATGACATATTAATCTACACTGAAATAAAAGTTGAGCATGTCAAATTAGAGCAGTTTTAAAGAAGCTGCGTGCAGCCAAACTATGCCAAACTTTCGAAATGTGAATTCCACAAAGAAAAGATTGGTTATTTGGGCTACCCGATTTCTCACGAGGGGGTGGAAATGGATGCAGAAAACGTATGGGCTGTGTTGGATTGGGCCCCACCATGCACCTGGAGGCAGCTGCAAAGTTTTCTGGGCTTCCCTAACTTCTATTGACAGTTCATCCCCTCCTTCGCTCAGATCGCACTCCCCATTACTAACCTACTAAAAACAAAAGGGGAGGACAAGCCGAAACCTAGCCAGACACTAAAATGGATTATGGAATGTCAGGTGGCATTTGAAAAATTAAAAATATTTTTTTCTGCAGAGCCAGTGCTATAACTTCCAGATCCAGCAAAACCATTTGTCATCCAGGCTGATGCTAGCAACGTAGCGGTCGGTGCAATACTGCTCCAGGAAAACCAGGAAGGCCAATTGCAACCTTCTGCCTACACTTCAAAGAAACTCACCAAAACCGAGCAAAGGTGGGCGGTCTGGGAGGAGGAGGCTTACGCTGTGCGTTGGGCCCCTCCTCACTTGGAGGCACTTCCTAGAAGGGAACAAGATCCCTTTCCAAGTATGGACTGAGCATAAAAACCTTGAACTGTTAAAGACCCCTAAGAAGCTTTTCCCCAAACCAGCTCAGTGGGCCCAGCACTTCCACTAATTAAATTTCACTCTACAGTATTTACCTGGGGGGAAAAACGTCTTGGCAGATGTCCTGTCATGGATGCTGCAATATAACAACATGAGAGCTGAAGTCGTCAAACCACTGCTGCCCACAGGGCAACTAGCTGCCCCTGTCACCACGAGAGTGCAAACAAAGTGTCCCACCTCTGGGCAGCACAGCAGCCTCTGAATTCAAACAAGCTTTGGAGAAGGATGAGTGATTCCTCAGCCATAAAAATCTCTGCTCGATGCAAGATAGACTACCTTGTGTGTGTGGGGGGGGAATTATGCATCTCTACAACTCAGAGATTAAAATTCATGCAACTCTGCCATGATTCAAAATTAGCGAGGCACTTTGGGTTCGTGAAAACCCTCCACGTGATAAAGAGATGATTTTGGTGGCAATCTTTAAAAAAAGGACATTGAGAGCAATGTAGCCGGTTGCCCCATTTGTGCAGCAGCTAAATGAAGGCAGGGAAAAACGCCTGGCCTACAGGTGGTTGCAAACCATTCAGCACCCAGCACCCTGGAGAGATATTTCTATGGACTTTATCGTAGAGCTACCAGAAAGCGCTGGAAACACTGTTATTTGGGTATGACGGATTTATTCTCCAAACAAGTCCATTTCATCCCTTGCCAAAAAATTCCAACTGCTAAAGCCTTGGCTAAGATGTTTCTGCAACACATCTATCGGCTACATGGGTCCCCACAACGCATAATCTCAGATAGGGGGGTCCAGTTCACCTCCAATTTCTGGAGAGCCTTTTGGGACCTACTGGGCACAGATCAGGGTCTGTCATCTAGTCATCATCCTCAAACGAATGGGGGGACAGAACGAATGAACTCAGTGCTAGAACAATACTTGAGATGCTTCATAAACTATCAGCAAGACAATTGGACTGACCTGTTACCATTTGCTGAAGTAGCCTATAACAATGCCGTGCATTCCAGTACTGGTTACACACCTTTCCAAGTGGCTACAGGACAGAGCTTCAACCTGATGCCTGAATTGCCTATCAATGAACCTACCATCCCTTCCTTTAAGGCAGTGGTTCTCAACCTTTTTAATGCCGTGACCCCAACCGGTCGTAAGTCGAGGACTAAACCGGTCATAAGTCGAGGACTACCCAACCAGTCGTAAGTCAAGGACTTTCCCTGCCCGGGAGCACCGTGCATGTGTGGTTCCGCCCCCTGCGCCGGCCAAGGCGTAGCTGGCAAGCGGCAGAGACGGAGCAGGCCAACCACCAGCTGGCCCAGCCCAAGGGAGGTAAGGCACCTGCCGGAAAAGGGAAAAAAAATGGCGGACAAAAAATGGCAGACAGCCTTGCTTGGCAACCCCCGTGAAATGGTCGATCGACCCCAAATGGGGTCCCGACCCACAGGTTGAGAACCACTGCTTTAAGGAATGGATTACGCAATTGCAAAATATGTGGCCAATTGTCAGAAAAGGTTTAGATGAAGCTAAATAAGCTTATAAAGTGCAGGCAGACAAAAAAAGGGTGGAGCCCAAGCCTTTTAGGGTGGGGGATGGGGTATATCTTTCCACTAGGTTTCTGCAGTCCCTGCAACCCTCAAAGAAGTTAGGGCCAAAATTTGTGGGACCCTTCCCTATTAAACGCATCATCAATCCAGTCACAGTAGAGCTCGAACTCCCTAAAACATTAAGACAGGTTCATCCAGTATTTCATTCTAGTTTGCTAAAACCTGAAACGAGTTCGCCCTTAAGACCAGCAGTAGCCCCCTCACTACAACCAATTATGGTGGAAGGGGGAGAACATTTTGAAATCAAGGAAATCTTAGACTCCAGAAAGCACCATGGGTCTACTCAATACTTAGTGGCATTGAAGGACCTCCCAGCCTTCCAGAATGAGTGGGTACACAAAAAGCATGTGAGGGTCCCTAGACTGCTCAAACGTTTTCATGCTCGTTACCCGGATAAGCTTGACTAACCACTATGTTTCATTTTCTCTCCCTGTTATTTTCTCTTCTCTTGTCCAGGTGGGTCTCTCTTTTTTTAAAGGGGGTGGCATGTCAGAACCACAATGTATTTTGTATTTCTTTCCTATAATACAAGTTTCAAAAGTTCTGCTTTCTTGGAAGGTTTAACTGAGGCAAGTCCTTACACATTCCCTGAATAGAATTGTGCCAGAGGGGCAGTTTATTTTAGTTCCTGTTGAAACTTCCAATAATTCAGCAAGGAGTTGGACTGGAAGACCTGTGAAATCCTTTCTAGCCCTATGATTCTGTATTCTATGTTCTGAAGTAGATTTGGGAAACATTTCCCCTTGAAATGGGAGAAAGTTGCTAGTGGGAATCTTCCACTAGCTTCAGTCTATGCTTATATAGATTGAAATTTGTGTTGACTGGTTTTCCCATCTGCTGGCAAGTTTACTTTTTTTTTTTACAGAACCTGGTAGACCTATGTAGTATGAGACAACACAAGCATATCAAATGATCCCCAATATTACTATAACCAATGGGTGATCCCTGCTCTAATTTTGGCTACAGGTAGTCCTCCCCTTACAACCATAATTGAGCCCAACAGTTAAAATACTTTTGCCCCATTTTACAACCTTTCCTGTCACAGTTGTTAAGTGAATCACTGCAGTTGTCAATAACATGGCTGTTAATGAATCTGGCCTTCCCCATTGACTGCTCGTCAGAAGGTTGTAAAAGGTGATCACATGACTGCAACCATCATAAATACATGCCAGTTGCTAAGTGGGCAAATTTTGATCATGTGGCTATGGGGATGCTGCAACGGTTGTAAGTGTGTAAAACAATCATAAGTCAATGGTTGCAAGTTGAGGACTACCTGTGATTTATTTACCCATCATGGCTCTAATGTATTGCTCTGAATTCGTCTATTTTTAATGCAAGTTGAATGTATTGAAGAGAACTGTCTCCTAACAAGTTAGTATTCCAACATTAGCCACAGTTTTAGAAGTTTTATATGCTAAAAATAAAATTTATAAATCTTCCCAATTCTATGGAAACTTACATTGCCCATCATCTTATTATCCCACATATACTCCTGGAGAACACCTGATTTCAATATTATAAGAACTTTATTAAACGATGGATGGAAATTACATCCTAGAATGATGTAGTATGAGAATGCTAGAGAAAGTATTTATTGTGGATTAATGTGTTTATCTCTACAATTATTTGAACCTGTGCAAGTTATTTTTTATACTTTAGAAAGATCCCATTATATAAAGTTGCACTGTGTAGCACTTACTGAAATATAATCAATTATTTCAGAAAAACAGAATATCATAATCAAAGTTGTCTGCAAAAATCAGCACAATGATTTCATTGTTTTAAGATTCAAATGTTTTGTATTTGCATTTTATATTGTTAAGTTGTACAAAAAGTATATGCATTTGAGAGCTAGTATCATAATAACATTAATATTATTGTTTTAAAGGTAATTAGATCAACTGGTTTCATGAAAGGATTGTATACAGAAGCAGAGATGAAATCTGATAATGTTAAGGTATGTATGCACTCATAATTTTTTATTTATAAAACTAGCTGTACCCAGCCACGCGTTGCTGTGGCTCAGTCTGGAAAAGCGTGTGTTGCTTTTACGTCCAACAGATGGCGCTGTTTTTCAAAAAAAGCATGTTTTTACCTGTCACAGGTATGACATCTATATAATATAGGTATATCAAAACACGTGCGTATTCAAATGCAACGTTGTGTCAAAATTTCAAAACAATCGGTGAAGAACTTTCGGAGATTTAAGATTTTGAACAAATGAACATTTACATTTTTATTTATATAGATATTTTATAGATGCAATTCCATTAAGTATCATTTAATATAATGTCAGAATTGTGCCAAAATGCTATTTTATAAATTAAAAATTTATACATTAAAAAATCTAGTATCACAATTTATATTGAAAACTGTAGAGTTTATTTAACATTATATTGTTTTATTCAGGATAAAGATGCAAAAATCATCTTTCTTCAGAAAGCAATTGATGTGGTCATCATGGTGACAGGAGAGTATTTGGCAGTGAAACCTGCACGTGTTGTTGCAGGACATGAACCTGAAAGAACAAATGAATTTCTCCAAGCAATTGCTAAATGCTGTCTCAATAAGGTAAGATATTAGTAATTTGTGAAATATTATCTTAACTGAATTTTAAATACAATTTCAAAGACCAGCTGTAGGAGAGATGGTTTCGGGATAAAAGCTGAAATGACTGTTGTGGGGGAGAATTAAGCTTCTCTCTCGTTATCCGACGTTAATATAATACACACATACACACACATATAATATATTTTATATTAATTATAATTATATATAATTATAATAATATAACACACACACACATATGTACGTGCATGTATGAGTATGGAGATGTGTGTGTGTGTGTGTGTGTGTATGTATGTATGTATATATGTACACACGGGAAAAGACCTGAATACGCCAAGACCTGTATATATATATATATATATAT